AGTGTTTTCTTAAACACTGGGTAAAGGAAGATTCTGCCATTCTGAATTTAAAAAGATCTAATATTTGCGCTGAAAGAGCCATCAAAGTTATTCAGGAAATTTACCCTTTTTGTAAATCTGAATAGTTTAAATCTTAAGTTTATCTGAAATAATATCAAAATGAATTAAATAATGAACTAAAACRTATATTTACTATAAAAATGTATTTGTCTAGTACTTGAATTAGTCTTATTGCTTCTAAATCAAAATTTATCTTCTTCTTCTTCGCATATAACATATGAATTTTTTCAATTTAAAATTGAAATTTTTGAAATAAATCGAAAAGCTAAAAACGCAGTTATCATTTTTTTACTATTCCTCATCGTGTTATGGCATGTAAAGTAGGTTTTACAAAAATAGACTACCCCTAATGCTCATACACAAAAAATGTTGAATGTTGGAATTTAGGTAAACCTGCGTATTATTCAGAGGTTATAATGAATTTTCGAAATAAACAATTACCGAAATAACGGCACTGGATATGATTGTGCTGGACAGAATAATGTGCAGCTTCGATTGATTTGTGCCTCTGCATTTTTTAAACGATTTTCAACACTTATTTTTGGAGCCACGCTGCCAACGGGTTCTACTCGTATTGTAAAAAGTTAGGTATTAAACAAACAAAAAAAGTTTATACACTTGTGAAAACTGCCGGAATATGCGCCTTAATTAAGTGAGTTTTATGTAAAAAAAATATTTTGTTGAAGTTAAGCTTTTGATGAGAACTTGACTATACCTGTAATTTGGCACTGGATATGACTGTGCTGGACAGAAAAGCGTAAATGTCGTACCCAATTTGGCACCGGCATCACGCAGTCGTTCTCCAACACCGATTTTCGGTGCAACGCTGCCTACGGGTTCTAAAGGAGTATAACAATTTTATTGACTGAATTTTACCCTCCAAATAATTGTATAAACTGCAGAATGTTGGAATCTAAGTTCAAAATTTTGACTTTTTTTAATATTTGGAAAGTCGAATTTTTTTTTTTTTTTTTTTGAATTTATAAGCCTTGTCCTCTCTAAAGCGGGAACTGTGAGATTTTTCAACAATTAACAATGAGCTTGATATACACATTTCAATAAAAATTCTTTTAATATATTTTTTTACCGAAATAGCGGCACCGGATACGATTGTGCTGGACAAAATATGCTCAATGTATTGCCGATGGCCGCTACAGCATCATTACGCCGATTTATAAGATTAATTCTTGGTGCTACACTGCCCACAGGTTCTATAAAATATCAAACATGTTTATCAAGCAATTGAAAAAAAAAAAACAGAGAAAACTGCCGAACGTTGGTTTATTGCAACGACTGACATTTTTTTAATGCAGTCAGAGCCGTGTTCTTTTAATCAACATTACCTAAACGCTGGCACAGGGTACGACTGTGCCGGGCAAAATATGCCGAACGACGTTTCGATGCGCGCCTCAGCGTCCTTACGTCTATCGCCCACGCTTATCTTTGGTGCAACACTACCAACGGGTTCTACAAAACGACACAAGATGTGTTAAGGTATGTTTTAAGTTTGAAAACTGCCATGAATAATTAAAGAACGCTTAGCGAAAACTTTGTGTTCACTACAAACTGCTGCAAAAGTTTTAAGAATCAATCGCTTGGCTGAAGTCTCAACATCAGTGTTTAATTTGTCATCAATATTAACTACATACTCTAAGGTAGTTGTAATACCTGTAAGCTGGTACCGGAAATGATTGTGCTGGACAAAAGAGCGCAACGCTTGAATGACTTTTAGCACCGGCATTTTGTAGTTGTGCGGCTATGCTAACTTTTGGTGCAACACTGCCGAGGGGTTCTGATGATATAAAATTTGTTTGGAAGTAATACTATTGTAGTTTATGCGTAATTAAAAGCTTCTTATTTGTAGGATTAAGAATTTTTGCTGCCTGAATGTTGAACAGAGAAATTTAAAAATGAGCTGGAAGCTTTTTAGGTAAATCACTCAATAAAAAAATAAATTCTGAACTTGGTTTTTTTTTATAAAACACAATTAAATTTTTCAAAACTAAAACTCTTGTGTTAAATTAAAAAAAAAATCATTAAAGTTCTAGTAGCAACCATTGTAACTCAATTGACTTCAACCTCTAGGCGCTAACTAAGGTTGCTGATATTCATTAATCGATAACATTAAATTATTGAACTACTCTCATCAGTAAACTTCCCACTACGTTCACTTAAAACGTTTAAATTTAAGGAAATTTAATTGAWTTTTTTTTATGGGATCAAGTATAAGATAATCCCAACTGAATATGAATTAGATATTTCAAAGTATTATAAAACGAACGATTTAGACCCTCATTTGCTCACCTATAAATTGGCACTGGATATGCTTGTGCAGGACACATAATCGCGAGGCTATGATTTTGCACGATACTGTCRTGATTATAGCCATCTTTTTTATTAACGCGTGGCGCAACACTACCGATGGGTTCTAAATCGAGAAAAGTTTACATTCTTCGGTACTTAAACTATATAATGACAGTTAATTTGATCAAAAACTTTAACAGAATGTTGGGTACAGTATTTAAGTGGGTTCAAAATTTTACTAAAAAAACGAATATTATTTTATAACTTACAACGCACCTATAAGCTGGCACTGGATATGACTGAGCCGGGCATTGTATCGCAATAGTGTGATTAACCCTTATGCGGTCGTAATTTATTTCATCTTTTCGACTGACACGTGGTGCAACGCTACCAATTGGTTCTATAAGAAGTTAAACCCGAAATTGTCTAAAATATTTTACGCCTAGGTTAAAAACCGTACTGAATGTTGAGATGAGTTTGTACAAAAAACTGCTGATTGAATTCCGTTTTTCTGCACCATACAAAGTTAATTTTCAGTTTGAAAATCATTTGCACTGCTTTATCTTTATTTTAACATTTTTCTTAAATTTCTTTTCTGGTGAAAGTTTCAACAAACCTATAAATCGGTACTGGATGCGATTGTGCTGGACATTTTAACGCAACAGTCTGATTTTCTGACACACGATCGTGACTGAATTCATCATTTTTATTAACTTTTGGCGCAACAATTTTACGCATAATGAATATTATTATACGAGTATTTTATTAAGTTTCTTTCTACCAAAAACTTTATCTATGAACGCTGGAACTTTTTCAACGATCAATAAAAATATTTAAACTTTTCACAAAAACTTAACTAAAAATTATGATGTGGTTTTTCTAATATACCTGTATAGAGGCACCGGATATGATTGAGCAGGACATAACAACGCTAGAGACTCGCTAATTTTCCCTAAAAATATGCCGACTTTGTCTTTAATCTCAACTTTAGGTGCTACTGAGCCCACAGGTTCTGAAATGTTAGAAACACCAAACGATGTTAATGACAATGTCTGCAAAAACATTTATTTTAAAAGTCTGAATGTTGGATTTTCGAATGTTTATMAAAAWAAATTAWYATTTTTAGCTAAATAAGATCGCTTAGGCAACTCTATSCTCTGCCAATCTTCCAATAAAGCACATGATATACATTTTCAAACATTCACCTGTAAAATGGCATTGGATAACTTTGAGCGGGACACAGCAAACTCAATGAAGCATTAGCTTGACGTATAGCAATACCCAATTTGTCGTTCATTTCAACTTTGGGCGCTACAGAGCCAACGGGTTCTGTAAATTTTTAAGGAAAAATAGCGATGAGGTTATTATATCGCACAAAATAAATCGCATGATAAATTATAGCACAACTTGAATATCCTATAGAATGTTGGGAACAGTAAGCCGTGAGGCATACGACTACAATTTATTGTTCAACTCTTTAAGAACCTTTTCAAATTCGCCTAATAATAATCGATACTCACAGTTTACAATCACTTTGATCTTGTACGTAATTAAAAAATTTAATCGACTGCCAGCTGATTGGAAAGAAATGAGCGATGAAACGAATTTTAAGTGACGTATTCTCTTGCTCTTACAAAACCTTTGCATGGTGCACGAATTGCAGATATTTCCTCTTGGTGCACCGGCACAACAATAAATGCACGCAGAAAATTATTTGCAATGGCTGTAAAATATGTCAGACCAAAACCCATGTTTATTTTCGTGCAATGACACGTAAAAAAAAATAAGTGCAATCCCGTTACTTAAATACATAYTTTGATGTTAAATTGTTGAGGAAGGCAAATTTGAAATAGATTTTATAATTTTTATTTTAATTGTAAAGATTTGTTACAGTTTTAAATGAATGCAGTTACAGTTTTGAATGAAACAATAGGCATGCACAATAGTCATACCATAAAATGACGGCTCGTGCTCGGGCTCGTGCCCTTGTATATTTCGAAATAGGATTTTTGCAATCTGCAATCTTGCATTAGTAAGAGAATCCCCCTATTGTATGTTTAATTAGCATATTCTACTTTATATGAGTTGTTTTAAAACGAAATTCACGGTCCTCGGTGATCCTACCTAAACGCTGGCATCGGAAAAGCTTGAGCTGGACATATCAGACTTAATGAAGCGTTTTCCCTTGTAAATGCCACTTTGACTTTGTCATTAATATCGACTTTTGGAGCAACGGAGCCAACGGGTTCTGAAATAGTATGTTTACTATAACGTGTAATTTTAAATATCTAAAAATTTTTGCAAAACATATAAAGAAAACTGCCTGCGGGTTTAGGGTTTAAGCGTTTTACCTGTCAACTCATATTAATTTAACAAATTTAAAAATTTTTACCGAAAAGCTGGCATTGGAAAGCCCTGTGCTGGACAAAGTAAACTCATTGAAGTATTGGACTTTCGCATACCGAAATCCATTTTATCATGCATATTCACTTTGGGGCCTACCGAGCCAACGGGTTCTGAAAAATCGTTATGAAACAGTTAACATAAAATCCTAAAAACATATTTGTATAAGCGTTCATTGAAAACCGCCTGCATAAATTCTCCACATACCTATAAGTTGGCATTGGATATGATTGTGCCGGGCAGAGTAAACTAAAAGCTTTACCCAAGGGCTTATCCAACCAATTGATGCGATCTTTGACATCTACTTTTGGTGCGACGCTGCCCACCGGTTCTATAAAATAAACATTACAACTTTGAGCACTGTCTTGAGATAATCAGTAAGTTATATTGCCGTTATGTTGGGAAAGTTGGGAGTAAGTTGAGAACGTGCGCTAATGCATGTACTTTGTTTTTAAACAGTTTTAACACTTATTTGATTCTTTATAGAATAAAAACTAGACATACCCTCAAAAGAATGGAATCCATACATTTATTTATTGACTTCAGTAAAAATGTAMACTGTGAAGATTAAAGATTAAGACTATGCTTATATAATTCCGGAACTTCCAATTTAAAGCTTTTTAAAGCACATTTTTAAAGATATAATGCACCAGGGCTTACCTATAAAMCGGCACCGGATATGATTGTGAGGGGCAGAACAAATTTAAAGAGTTGCCAGCTGATTTATCAACCCATTTAATGCGATCATTGGGATCCACTTTCGGCGCTACACTACCAACGGGTTCTGAAAATTTTTTTAGTTCATGTGCGTCATGCATTGAGAGGCATTAAATAAACATTATTTTGAAAAATGTCTGAATGCTTAGGATGGGAACTATGCAACATGGCATATATTTTAACCATAAGAGAGTAGCTGAAGAGATTATTAACAAAATTTAGAATTTTTAATTTTATCAATGTATTATTCACCTATAAATCGGTACCGGATAAGACTGTGCTGGGCAAATTAAGGCAAAACTGTGATCGACTTCAGCGCGTGCATAATTTATTTCATCTTTAATATCGACTTTCGGTGCAACACTGCCTACCGGTTCTGCGAACGTATTAAATTGAATTGAAATTTATATGAATCATTTTTTTTKTAAATTTTTATTTTTGAAAATGCCTTTATGTTGGAGGTGCCTTAGAAAGATTCTAATGTTCGATAACTGTATACTTTTACATATCCTCAWAACCTCAAGATTGTTTGTCTAAACTATGCATTTAGCCTGATTTTAGGATAAAAGTGTTATCTCACTCTAAAAGTGGACTTACTGTTTGACTTTACCTAAAAGCAGGCACCGGGTACGATTGTGCCGGACATATGAGCGCTTTATCGCTGTGCAAACGAGTGCGTGCGAATGTGAACTCATCACGTGTATCGACTTTTGGTGCAACACTGCCGACCGGTTCTAAAGAAAATGCAATAAATAAATTAATTTGAAGAATTCGACAACTTGCTTTAACATCGTAAATGTTGGGATGAGATTATAAACCATTTCACATATTTTTCGATAATATAATCACAAATTGTATGCTAAATTTCAATACTCAATATAAACACACCTACCACACCACGATTGGAACGGGATAGGCTTGCCCAGGACACTGCATTGCATACTCTTGTCCCATTTTGACTTGTATAAATTGAAATTTGTCATGTAAACTTGTGAGTTTTGGCGGTACTGAGCCCACAGGTTCTAAAATTATATAATAATAACAATAAAAAGTATAAAAAGAGCTTACGGATTTAATGCGGAGAAAACTGCTTGAATTACTAAAAGTAAGRGTGCTTGTTTAAAAAGAGTAATGAATGTTTCTTTGGCAAAGAAGAAAAATTTAACACTTTAACTGAAATGTTTTATTCAAGTACCTCACAATAGGGACCGGATATGCTTGACCTGGACACTGCATGGAGAATTCTTGGCCAAATTTTACTTGTAAAACTTGGAATCTATCATGCAAGCTCGTTACCTTTGGTGGCACTGAGCCGACGGGCTCTATATGAGAAAGGAGATTTTTCAAAATTAATACAAAAACTGGTACTGAATGTCGGRCTAAAAGCAGGGTGTGCACGTAAATCTGCAACATATTTAAAAATACATAAAGCAATTCATAGTATAGTACCTGACAATCGGCACGGGATATGCTTGACCTGGACATTGCATTGAGTAACTATGCCCCAATTTGACTTGCATCAAAAGAAATTTGTCATTAATGTTCAGTATTTTTGGTGGCACCGAACCCAGTGGTTCTAGAAAAATAATGCAATAAAATATGATTCTTTTAGTAACGTAAAGCAGAAGCTTTTAATAGTAAACTTGCCTGAATGCTTGAGGCTATTTGAATTCAAGAAAATGTTTTGTTCTTCTTCAATACAAAAAAAAATTTTTTTATTGATTTAGWTACTTTGCTTGCATGACTTTAGCGATTCTATAGAAAATACATATAACAAAAACAAGGCACTTTTTTGTACAAAGAACCCATAYTTGACGATTTCTTCTAAGTGTATATACGAGTATATTTTATCAGTATTTTTGAAGCTCTATCATATAATTAATTTTAATCTTCTCAATACGTCGGTATTTCACACAACAATTGCTTCAGGGGCATACCTGACTATTGGCACCGGGAATGCTTGTCCGGGACATTGCATAGCATAAGTAGCACCTTGAGGCACTTGCATAGTGCGAACTTTTTCGAGCAGATTCATTTTGGGCGGAACGCTGCCGACAGGTTCTAAACATTTTTAATTAGTACTTCAATAYTACTAATAAAAATATATCGCAAAATTTCCTAACTGCCTGAATGTTAACTCAAACTAGTATTGAAAGAAAAAATTTCGAAAATTATATTCCAAACCTACCTATATGTAGGTATCGGATATGACTGTGCTGGACAYTTTAAGCTAAAACTTTCACCCAAATAAACGCGTACACTGGAAAGTTCACTTTCCATATTAACTTTGGGGCGCACAGAGCCAATTGGTTCTGCGGAAAGGAAAAAAAAATTCTTTAGAAAAATATAGTTACGATATTTAATAAGAAAATTTCAACTGTCTGTTGGGATCTAGAAAACTGCCACCGAGCGGAAGAAATATACGAGACATTTATGAGTAATTTAGTTGCCTACCTATAAGCGGGTATGGGATGGGACTGCGCCGGACATTTCAAACTGAAACTCTCGCCCAAATTAGCACGCGCAATATTTAATTCGCTTTCAATATTGACACGGGGAGCCACAGAGCCAATTGGTTCTAGAATAAAAATGCTAATAAATGACTATTTTTTAAAAGAAGCGATTGATATGCGCCTAAATGTATGCCAGAATGTTGGGACAGAATTTCAACAACTTTACAACTCCTTTAGTTATGAACATCACCAAAAATTTTTTGTCAGAATTTGTACCCAATTGTTATTAACAAGAAAGGACGCAAGCATGTACATATGTATCTACCTATGCGCTGGCGTCGGGTATGACTGCGCTGGGCAAAGTAAAGCAAAACCAACGCCACTCGCGATTTCGCGTGTCTGTAATTTGTCCTGCACGTTAATTTTGGGCTTGACGCTACCAACGGGTTCTACGAAAAATAGACAAAATATTTGTTTGTAAAAATAAAGTGGAAACAGTTTCTGAAAACTGCTGAATGTTGTTGTCGTAAAATGGAAAAGCACTAAAATTTGTGTTAAAATATTTTAGAAAATTACACCTAACCTAAAAGCAGRCATTGGGTAGGATTGCGCAAGACAGAGTAAGGCATAATTGCGACCCAATTCTACATCGATAAATTGATGTTTGTCCTGCAGCTGCACCTTTGGACGTACGCTGGCAACTGGTTCTGGTTAACAAATAAATAAATTTACCGATAAATTATAGCTTCTGTGTAAACTACATGGTTAAAAACTATKTAAAACTGCCTGAAAGTATGCTTTGTGATTTTCAAAAACGATTTGCGGAGAACGTGTATAGTTACACACCTGAAAATCGGTACGGGATATGACTGCGCTGGACAGAATATAGCGCTACTGCTGCCACTGGCAATTTGATTCACTTTAAAGCGCTCGAGAAATGTGATTTTCGGTGCAACGCTACCAACGGGTTCTGAAAATTTTTTAACGATTAAGTTAAACGCTRTTAAAAACTGACTGATTTGCTGTGATATGGTGATTTTAAATACAGGCACTGCATAACAAATTACTTTTTTAATACTGCTGCATTAACAATTGAATATCCAAATATTACCTAAAAMTTGGCTGCGGATATGCTTGTGCGGGACACAGCAAGCTTAATCCTTGATTTTGTTTGCCCTTAACATGCTTTAAATCTTCACCGATACTGATTTTGGGACTGACACTGCCTACAGGTTCTAAAAATTTTTAAATAGCGACATAAGCATAGAGTTGTTGAAATAAAAATCCTATCTAAGTGATGTAACWTTCTTGAAAACTGCCTACAATTGTTTGCAAAATTTCAATAAATCAAAGCTTTTTATTTAAAATAATTATTATACTTTATGAATGATAGTAACTGTTAGAAGCGAACGCAATATATAAATTGTGCTTGTGAACATGCCCTTATTAGTCACYTAATAATCGATATTTACTCGACTAGATCAACCTAACTGTTTAAATTCTAAATGTTGAATAATTGTGAAAATTCAAGCTGGCACGTGTTTTATGTGCAATTTTTAAGTTAATAGAAAATGTGGTCCAAAAATGCTACAAATATCGACTCCAATGAGGGAAAAATTGTCTGATACCTGAAAATCGGTGTAGGATATGCTTGCGCTGGGCAAAGCAGGCTCAAACTGCGATCGCTCTTCGACTTTATATGATTATAATCATCACCAGAATTGATTTTTGGGCTAACACTACCAACAGGTTCTGCAATAACAAATAACTAACACTGAGAATAGTTCATAAGTATTCGGAAAACTGCCCGAATATTGGAATTAAAATGCCTAAAAACATGCTCGCTTAAATTTTATAAAATTATATTATTTCAAAAAATCGTTACCTAAACAATGGCACGGGATATGCCTGCGCTGGGCAGAGCAGCGTAACACTTTGACCTTTATGTACCTTTACGGTACGCGAATCGTCACCGGAAGTTAGTTTTGGTGACACGCTGCCAACGGGCTCTGAACCATTTAATGTAAAGAAACGAATAGAACAATGAAAAAGATTGGAAAATTTCAGATTTGTTGGGATGGGGTAAAGTTTGCACAGAAATTAATATCAACTTTTACCTAAAAACTGGCACCGGATAGGCTTGCGCTGGGCACATTAATGTTGCACTTTGTCCAATAGATACTTTTGGAATTTTTATTGCATCATCACCAGCAGTCATTTTAGGGCTAACACTACCAACGGGCTCTGAAGAAATTTAAAATTTATACTCTAAACGGTGTCTCAACCATGTATTAAGCTTATGAAAGCCTGCTGAATGTTGGAACAAGCTCTGCACACAAATTCCAAACAAAACAGTGTTTGCAATTTTATTTTTGTTGCCTACCTAAAAACTGGTACTGGATACGCCTGAGCCGGACACAATAGRGTAATGCTATGGGTCAATGGCACGCGTATAATTTTTATGTTCTCCTCATTTGCAAAAATTTTTGGACTCACAGAGCCGACAGGTTCTAGGAAAGAAATATAACACCAATAAAGTCAAGAAAACTATTCGGAACTTGATTGATTGAATACAACTGATGTTGGGATAGCATTAATTATGCATTATTGTTATGCTAGAAATGCTTTTACCTAAACAATGGCACCGGATAAGCCTGTGCAGGACAAAGTAATGTGGCACATTTGGTAAAATCTATTTTTACGATACGTGATTCATCACCCGAAGTAAGACGTGGACCAACGGTACCGACAGGCTCTAAAGCAAACAATTAAAAATTCATTAATGGAGAAAATACAGAAAATAAGTTGTGGTTTAGTTTAGAGACAGGATGTTGGAATAGGTTAAATACTGCGGTAAGAGTTGCCTAAAATCTAATTAGCCTCAGCATTTCAACTTGCCTCAGTCGACCTAAATGATGCTCTATATATAATTAATAATTTGAGTAGCTAAATTTGATTTCTAGAGCTTTTCTTTAATCAACGAGTATGAGGGGGATAGGACTGCATACAAATCATACGCTTACCGAAATATTGGCACCGGATAAGCTTGCGCTGGACAGAGTAACGTGACTGATTTATTACCAGGGGTGATAATCACTTTTATATCATTGCCAGATAGTAAACGTGGGCCAACACTACCAACAGGTTCTACAAATACGATATACGAGGTACGGTAGGTATAATTTAAAAAGGGTAAGTAAAAGCGAGTTAGGAAAACTGTGTGAGTGTTGAAATAGGCTACTCGAATGATTTTGAAATATTTTATTTACCACCAAAGACCAAAATAAAGCTAACTTTCATAATTAACTAAAATATTATGCAATCAGGGACACACCTAAACATTGGCGCTGGATAGGCTTGAGCAGGGCAGAGGAGTGTAACGCCCGCTCGTGCGGCCGCCGTAAAACTGCTGCTCGTTTGCACAGTGGGGAATTTCGGTGATACCCTGCCAACCGGTTCTGTAAATTAGTTTTTAGAAATATATATTAATTTAACATAGGCTGAGCTCAAAAATTTATGCGAGCCTTACAATAAAATATTGCACATTTAAAATGTAGTTATATTTAAAGTATTTATTTAATTTAAAAGTATGATATTTACTATCAATGCGCACTTACCTTGCACTTTTGGAATTTTTGCTTAGGATAAGGGTGCGAATTTCACTAGTATTTAGGTACTGTACTCAGCGCACAGTGGCACAAAATGTAACGAAAAATTACTTTTCTGTTTTTAATGACAACATAAATACTCCATTTGTTCAAGCTCAAGTCAGGCAAAAAATTTAATGCATTTGAAATTTAATTTAACATTAAATATTACTTTAAAAATTTCTTAAATACGGAATTTATTTATTTTCAATTTCGCWTTAATTCGCGCAACAGTTTACCCTATCCCAACATTCAGGCAGTTTTCAATGCAGGCTAAGGAAGCAACAATTTTTTTATGTTACCGTAAGAATTTTTTGTGTTTAATTGAATAGTTAATTTTTTAAAACAAAATATCTTTTAACAGAACAATTGAAAAAATTTGCTGAAATAAGTCTTTAGCAATAGTATTAAATTACGTTTTTGTTTTTGATTTTAAATTCTTATATTAATTTTTTTTTTCTTTTTTAAGAAGTATTTTTATACAAAATATTTGTTCATGCCATTCCTTCGGAGCAAAGAAAAAGATTTTAAGCTAAAAATCTTTTTGATTGAATTTTTTTTCATAATTAGATCAAAAAGTTGTTGCTTTAAATATTTCAAATAACTTAATAGTAAATAATTTATATAATATATTGAGCAATAAAAATATATTGACAATTCATATGGCCCAATATACTATTAATATTTTTACCAGCAGAAAAAATATTTTTTATGAATTATTTACAAAGTCAAAAATTACATAAATAAAAACTTTAACATTTTTTATGCTGGAAACGCTTATTAATTGCATAACTGTGTATATTTAAAAATTCTAGTTCGTAATTGTAGCGTAAGATTTACTTTTTAATTTTAAATTGTACACAATTATGCAATTTTCAATTACGAGTATATTACAAGCCTAAACTGCAACGGTTATTATAAATATGTTTAGATATTTAAATTCAACAACTATGGCAACTTTTTGCAAAGCTTTTTATTAGTTTTTAATTTTTCACTTTTGTAACATTTTCAGTATTTTGTTTTACAAACCCGACCACAGTATCAACAATTTTTTCCCGTTGCAGCACAAGGCTCAAGTATAAGGGTATGTACATAAAATATAAAGCTAAAACAAAAACATTTTACCAATAGGAATAATAAAATTATAAAACGCAAATAAATTTCTTATTTTTAATAATATTTGGTAAAATATTTTTATTTCAAATATTCGAAAATCCAGTTCTGACATTTTTTGTACATATTCACATAATTCAATTACTTTTGAAAAATTAGTATTTTCTAAAATTTATTTTTTTATAAAATTAATTTTGAAAAGTTCATATTTTTCATATTCATTAAATTACATAATACTATATTATTTTGTTATCATTTTTTACAATTTAGCTTAGGTGAGAACTGAATTTTCGTAGTTACCATTATTTAAATGGACACAGTTAAAACTTCGAAAATTTATTTTATTTTTATTTTTAAAATTTCAAAACATTTCTCACGTAACAATTTTTGATATGTTTTTATTTTTTAGTTTAGATTTTTAGTTTTAATTTTAAGTTATTTTACTTATTTCACTTTGTAAATCTTATTTAATTTTTTTATTTGCTTTGTTTCCAAAACATATTTTGAAATGATATTCATATTTTTTCATGTATTTTCACAAAATTTCATTAACAAAGGAACAAAATTATTAATTATTATTTTTTTTTAGTTCTAATTATACAAAATCCTTTAAAAATTATTAACCTAAATTTAACTGCGTCCTTTGATTAATTACAATTATTTTACTCTACTAAAAATACGCTTAAAGCTTACAACTTACCTGTGATCACCAAGCGTCCCTTCGTCGCGCTCAATCGTGTTTCGCCAGTTAGACGATGCTTGGTGCGACACTGATAGCTTTTGTAGCCATCTTCGGGTCCCACTTCGCGTATATGCAGTTCACCMGAGGGCAAAACCAAATATTTTCCATCTGGTTTCGAAAACGCGGCACAAAATTAATAGTAAGGAGTAGAAAAAATCAATCCATTAGAAAATTGTAWATCTTGTATTACTGCGTTTAAACTGTATAATTATTTCTACATAAAAATACGCATGCAATACTACACCGTAAATATATATTGAGATGTTTTAACTTGGCGAAATTTAAATTTTATTTATTTCTTTTATACTCAAACACAATTTATTTCAGTTGCAAACTCTCTTATTATGTAAAGTGTAGCTSTGTTAGATAATTTGTAATGTACTATACATACATATGTACATATGTGTATAAAAGCATGCTTTTAGTTGTGTATACACATTTGAAAAACTTTAGTGTATTTTGACTAACGTTAAAACTTTATTACAAAAATAATTTCTTGTTAATGTCATACATTTTATAATTATTTTTGTCAAATATTAGGGGTATCCGCTTGCTCTTGCAAGTTTGCAGATTGCAAAAGTACTATACCGAAATATACAAGGGCTCGAGAGCACCCATTGCAGAATCTAGTAATATATGAACGGCTGATTCGACCAATTTATTGTGAATGACTATTATGCATGGCTATTGTGAATTGGCGCACCTTCCGCGTACATTTTTAACAAAAAAACTGTAACAAATCTTTATAATTTAAGTAGAAATTATAAAAACTATTTGAAACTTACCTTCCTCAACAATTTAACGACGTAATATGTCTTTATGTAAAATGACAGCTAAAACAGGATTGCAAYTATATTTTTGCGTGACATTGCATATACATGGATTTTGGTCTGCCATATTTTACAGCAATTCCAAATAATTTTCTGCGTGGGTTTGTTGTTGTGCCGGTGCACCAAGAGGAAATATATGCAATTCTTGCACTGTGCAAGGGTTTTGCAAGAGCAAGCGAATACCCCTATTATGATTTGAAAGGTTTTATCAAACGCCTTTTTTATTGTTGACAAACTTTTAATTCATTTAAATGATATGCAAAGCACACTATAGTTTTTCAATAAGTTAATTATACTGTATAATACTATGACTAAACGTATAAGCATTTACAACAACACGTTAACTGTTTGACCAACTTATTTCCACTTCATTTATCGGAAACCCGTGTAACAATCAACACAGAAAAATATTTATATATACGAATATTGTAGTTTAAAGTTGAGTACAGCTTCATGGATTTTACTTTTTTTAATATATCTTTGCTATTAATCAATATTAATCAATTTATTTCGCAAATCTTTAAAATTTATTTAGTCACTTGTATTACCAAACAACCAAAGTGATGACACGATATCGATTACTTCGATTGGTTTTCAAATGGCTAGAGCCTTAAGGTGTGCTTACACACGCCACACAATCGCATACTTCTTTTTTAACGTGTCTCAAAATTCAATAAATATATGTATATGAAATATTTGCAATGTGTTTTCTTGATTATTAATTATGGAAATAAATTTGCTCTGCAAAAGCGAGTTAATCTTATACATGTAAAAATTGCGTCAGCATGCATTGAAACGATCAACAAAAATGCCAATAAAATGCATTTCATTCACATATTATTATTATTTTCAGAAGTGTATATATTTACATTTTTACAGTTAATTTACTAAAAATTATTTAGTAGTTAATTTAATTGTTATTAGCATTTTTGTTACAATTATTTACATTATAAATACAAAATCTACAAAACTATGCTACATGAAGGGGGATTTTCGTGGCTAAAGGCAGGCTGGACGAACCCATGGAATATTTGGATGACAACAGGAAGTTTAAAGGAGCGGATAGGAATGAAAAACCAAATAAAATAAAACAAACGAAAAGTAACAAAATGTAAGAAAAAGTGAACGAGGAATCATTTATGAAAAGCGACTTGACACTTAAAGCAAGAAAAGGCAGAAAAAATAGGAATAAAAGCAGATTGAAAACGCGAAAAGCCTATGTCAATATCCTAGTCAAATCATCTCGAAAATTTTATTGTATACAGACTGAAAGCAGCGGCAGAGTCTAGTTTACGGGACAGACAATGTGATTTTTGTGGAAGCGGGATAATGCATGGAACATTTGTGAACAAATTTAACAGAAACAATATATTACGTAATTCCTCTATCAATTTCACACTGTGAAAATCAGCATTATTTACCGCTATCAAAGTGCCCGACGCCATCGTTAGTGGTGAAAATTTCGCGTTCTTCATCTTCCACCCATGAAGCGACTGATATGAAATCCGCCACAAAACTGGGTATATGACATTTGAGTATGGCGCTGTTACCACGCAACACAGCCTCATCCATGACATTTACCGTATAGGATTGCGGTACGACTATAAAGTGGAAGAGCATGTAAAGTAGAAAAAAGGAGCATAATGGAGAAGGCAAAATGAGAGGCGTTGTTTTGTAATGTAACAGTAATAAAATTAAAGAAAAATCATTAACTAAAAATAGATTTGTGAGTGAATTTGAGTTTGGTATAACTTTTGGGAACAGAAAACTAGAAAATCCCCCTCTAATTAAACATAACTAAATCGAAATTTAAATTAAAACTACCAGCGCTGGTTTTTGTGTAGACACCACCGTCAGTATCAACCCAATCGACAATGTCTATATGATCCGCGACAAAGGATGGCGTTTGACATTTGAAAATGGCTGCATTGCCTTTAATAACATACTCATCGTACACTTGTGACTCAAAAAATTGTTTGACAACTGCAAAGGAAACGGAACTGTGATTTGGTAACAATGAAATTGTAATTTAATTCACACATATGAAAAGTATTTTTAAAACAAAATGCAACGCAGCACTGTTGGTAAGGAACGGAAGTAGGATTTTGGCGATTACACAAAAAAGTATGTCAACTGACAACCAACAGGCGCAAAACGTTTTGTTACTGTTTAACTTATATTATTAACTTCTTTCTCTTCAACACAAGAAAAATTACCCATCAGTTCATTGTTATCGGCGCGCATGAATTCAACATTATCCTCATCCACCCACGATTCTACGGTTATAAAATCGGCGACAAAAGATGGCACCAGACACTTGAGTGTCGCTGAGTTGCCACGTAAAGCAAATTCATCGATTACGCGTGTTTGATAAAACTGATGAACGACTAAATGAAAACAAAACAAAATGGCCTATGTAATGAAAAACGCAAATAAAATATGGTGTTGATTGAGAAATGGGATAATATGCAGAAAGAACACATTGGAACATGCGAAGCACATCTAATTTTTATTTAATTTTTTTCGCTTGAGGTATGTTTTCGCAATACCAGTTTCCTTATCAGTGCCCGGATAATAGTTTGTGTTCTCTGAGTCCAACCATAGATCAACAAAAACAAAGTCTGCCACATATGAGGGAATCTCACATTTCATTACCACTGAGTTGCCACGTATGACATATTCATTATCGGCTTCGGATTCATAGCTTTGAATGACAACTGCATTTACCGGTAGATAAAAACGTGWAAATGGAGAGAAGTTAAGCAGAAAGTTAAAAGAAATAAAATGAATTGGRCAGTTAAAACAATTGCAAGGAATGGTGGGTAGTTACATGGGAGGTTGGTACCTAAATTAAACTTAAATACGATATACACGCAATTAAGCGGAACATTCTGACATTCAAGCAAATACCATATGCTTGCGAGGAATTGCTACGCCATAATTCCACACCCTCCTCATCCACCCAGGCTTCGATCTGTACAAAATCCGCAACGAATGAGGGTATTTTACACTTTACCACCGCTGCATTGCCTTTGATCACATACTCATTCTCCGCTTCCGTTATGTAARACTGAGAAACGACTGTTAAAACAAAAGCGAAAGTTTTTGAAAAGAAAAGTAACGAAAAGAAAATGTAAAAGTAAATATGTGTAAAGTATGGAGGGGRGTTTGTAGGAAGTTGACATTAGCTGTCTTTTAACTAATCAAACCACTAATTAAATTGCGAAAAGCRAAAACAGCGAACCGTAATTATCGGAGAATGTCAATACGTTATTATCCTCATCGATCCATGATTCCACGCGCACAAAATCGGCTACAAACGAGGGTATAGAACACTTCAGCACGGCAGCATTGCCTTTAATCACATACTCAGTCATGATTTCCGCCTCATAAAATTGATTGACGACTACAAGTTGCGCGCAAAAAACCAAATGCAAACAGTGAACGAAAAAGTAGAATAGAAAAAAATGTTATGAGAGCAAAAAAGAAATATATATCTTGAGAGGAGTGGCATAAAAATATAGGTTCATTTTGGGAATCAGCTGGAAACTACTTAAGCTAGTATGTTAGCGTGCATAACAAGTTCGACAGTTGCTTTTGCCAACCATAATTGTCGCTGTGGCGCAAAACATTATTCTCTTCATCAATCCACGATTCAACGCGCACAAAATCCGCCACAAACGATGGTATGGAGCACTTGAGTACCGCTGAATTGCCCTTAATCACATATTCCATTAAAATATCGGCGCCGTAATACTGATTGACAACTAAAAATGTGATTATGYGTTATTAAAAAACAAGACTCGCAAAAATATAGCGCAATAGAGAAGAGTTGAAMTTTAGGTTATGAGAAGGTATTTAATGTTTTGGAGAGTTTGAGGATTGGTTTACATAAAAAGTTAACAACGCGCCACCAAAATTTCACTTATCAAATACAGCTATTATTTTTGTACGCTAACAGATATTTGTTTATTTCGTGAGTTTTTATACCAAAACTATCGGTGGGCAGAAATTCGGTGCCCTCACTGGACAACCATGCTTCCACTTTTACGAAATCAGCAACAAAACTTGGTATGGTGCATTTTAAAACCGCTGTATTGCCCTTAATGACATATTCAGAAACGACCTCAGCCTCGTAATACTGATTGACCACTGAAAGTTATCGATACATAGTGGAGAGAATAAAATAAATATGTTTTGGCAGCTAGAAATAAATGAAATATGCATTTGTAGAGTTTTAAATGAAAAKTAATTAAAGCAAAAATAACAGTASATTAATACAAGGACGAGAGGTGGGTAGATACACATTTAAATTAACCSTGTTGCCATATTCCAAAACAATTTTTTTTTAAACAAGTTTCCACTACCGGTGCCCTGTTGTTCATCCAGCGTTGCATACAATTCGCCGCTTTCGTCCTGCCACGATATGACCTGCACGAAATCCGCCACAAATGAGGGAATCGAACACTTAAGCACTGCGGCGTTGCCACGTATTACGTATTCATTATTCACTTCGGATTCGTAGAATTGTTGTACAACTGTATTAAAATGAAGAAATGCAAAAAATGCACAACGATGATGAATCTCTCGCGTGAACTCTTGAACTTGCATGTAACGGCTAAATTTTATATAAATGATATTCAACGCGCCGGCAGTAAATGTTTAATTACATAAAACATGCGGCAACAATTACGCTAATGTTGTTACCACTTTTGCGCCGTGTTTAGGTGCATACGAAAACACTACCGAGCACATATGTACATGCCTTTAAGCGAAGAAATGTGGGAGAATGCAACGAAGCGTGTGAGCGTCTGGCGCGCTCTCTTGAGCTTACRTAACAATTATGCTTGCAACTTTTCAAATGTACCGCTCGTAATTGAAATGAAAATCACGATAATCGCTTAGCGCGTAATTCGCACGCTTCCACTAAGAATTCTAATGATTCTAAACACTTTTAAAAGCACATTGCCTTCCCCTATCTGTCCATAATTTCGAATGCTAATGCTCGCGTGTGACCACTACATCAATTAAGATTTAAATATTTATCAATGGCGGCTTACTGTAATAAAGCTATAGGCATCACTAAAAAGTTGGGAAGAATTATGAAACGCCTACAAACTTCATGGGAAGAATGTGGAAGTGAGATCAGTTAGTCGTTGCCTGTTTTAAAGTGCAGAGAATTTTGTTGTTCAATGTGAGAGGTTAATGACTGATAAAATATGATTAATTAAGTGCAAGTGTAGATACAAGTGAGGTAACAAAACCAAAAATTAGTAGTAATTATATGAACGGAACTCAAAGATGGTAGAAAAACCAGTGGTGGATATAAAAATAAATTGTTGGAAAAGAAGAAAAATAGAGAAATGAATTGGAAATATTATTCGGCATAGTTCTGAAGTGGCATTGATGATCGTAAAATATATGTATATGTATATAGAAAATCGAAATCCCTGACGGCAATTTGAAAATATTCTGCATAAAAATTAAAGTAGACTGAGAAGTGAGAAAATAGTTAATAAAGAATTAAAATATACTGAGAATTAATATGGCAACCACGTAGAAAAAATATTACATGTTTGGAAATAAGTTATGTTTTTACAAATTTATTAAAGAACCAAACAAAATTATAAAAACATAAGAGCTAATAAAATTTTAAACAGGAATAGGACAAAATATATTATTTTCTTGAAGTATCATAAAGTTGGGCACTWGTTCATTTCGCGTTTTGCAAATGAGGTAAATTTATAATACTAAATAAGTTTAAAACGAAACATGTTTACATATTCCATAATTAAATTATTTTTATAGTCATGCATACTTTTTGCCAGCTTTTTGGCATAATCTCAATATAWAGAAAATGCAATTAATTAAAATGTTGAGTGTCGACAGGGTTCTAGCACTCAATTATATGAGCATTATATGAAGGTTGCCTTTTATATTTCGGTATTTGAGATCAAAAACAAGCTTTGGTCCTCGAAAATCGCTTTATTGCTTTTCAAAATGCCTTCTATTAGGATCTATGTACTCTTGCTGGCGCTTAAATCTACTTTCGAAGCACTTTTGCCACTCTGATTGATGTATTTCCAAAACATGTATTCTGAACGCATTAACCGTCTCTTCAGGTGTCAAAAAACGTTSACCTATTWGTTTTTCTTTTATGTACCGGAATAAAAAGAAGTCATTCGTTTCTAAGCCAGATTTATGCGGAGGATGACTCAACAAATCGATGTTTTGAGTGCTTAAAAATTCAGTTTTTTCATTTGATGTGTGAGAACTAGCATTGTCGTGGTGAACAGTGATCCGTCTTAGGCGTTTGTTTTTTCTTGATTCTTCATAGACAACAGCCAAACAGATGGCTTTATATCACTCAGAATATATTGTTCTCCGCTGTTCTAATGGTATGGCTGTGATATATCCACTTGTTCCAAAAAAAAAACAGGCAACGATTTGCTTGAAAGTGATTCGTGCGACAAAACTTTTGTTGGATTCAGTCGACTTCTGTTTACTTTCAGGATCATACGCGGAAATCCACGGTTTATCATTTCAGGTGATGACGTGTTTCGAAGCAAGGATATCGTATTTTTTTTATTATATGTCCCGACCAATCGGCAAAAAAATTGTACAGTCAAATGTTCATGCAATGTTGAATGCAGGCTGGTCCCACCTCTATTTCACGATAGGTSCGTGACGATATGGCAATATTAGTTTGTGCACAGCATCAATAGATTCCGGAACAAGAACTTTTGGACGACCTTTACGAAATCYATCTTAGAGTGATTTGTGATTTCGATTGAATTCACCATACCGCCGATAAACACTGGTCTTTGATGAAGCTTCATCTCTAAGCTCATGCACTGTGGCTGAGTTAATCCACGTTGAAAGTTGTAAAAAAGAATTATGCGAATGATTTAAGATACTGTAAACAACACAAGTAACGGCCGCATGTCTAAACATTCTGTGTATGTATAACACCAAAAATGTTAAACTTTACGATCAAGTAGTCAGTTGTCACATTGCAACACTAGGTTTTCCCAAATCCCGATATATAAAAGGCAACCTACGTATAAGTTTTACACTCCATTGATTAAACGCAAAAAACATAAATGATGACAAAATTTATTGTGGTTGTTCCTTGTATTAGATATTTAGCTGAGAACTACAAATTTGCCACATGTTAGCGACAKTAGGCAATATTTTTAATATTACTTCTAGAACAAATTTTAAAACCAATAATATGCGAAATTTTGTTCTTACAACGGTGCCCAACTCCATTTTGTTGTTTTTCACCTCAATATTTGATATAATATATGTATGTATGTTTTTACACTACTTTTCACAGCACAATTCACACTAAGCAAGCAAAAATAACCTAACAACTGCAAACTTGTCTGCACCAACCATATTCAGTGCCTGGCAAAAAGTCCTCATTTTGATCCGTATGCCAAGACATAACACTGACAAAATCCGCAACAAACGAAGGTATTTCACATTTTAAAACAGCTGCATTGCCACGAATTACATAAGCTTTATTTACATCGGTATCGTAATATTGAGCAACAACTGAGAGACGATTAAAAACAATAGAAATATATTTATATTAAATTGAACATAGTAAAAACAAAACTAAAAAAAGAAAACGTTATGGACAACCAAAATGAGTGAAAAGGAGCTTCCCGTTGTCAACTTTAATAGGGGATAAAAAACAGCTGATTTTGTTGACTGAAAAAAAAATTTTGGTGTGTAAGTTGGTGAGTTTGATTTGCTGTGGTAAACGGTGTGTTGTGTTACTCCTTGCAAGTGGTTGCTGGAGTTTGTTTACACGACTAATCTATGTCAGAGTGAGTCTGTAGAATTGTTTATTGCCCTGTCAATTTATAGTGAGTGCTGTAAAACGTTGCATTTAAATATATACATACATATGTATGTACATACTTTTGTTAATCGACCGATCAGTCAGCAACGTTTTACACATTTGTTTAGTTAATGGTGTTGATTAATTTGTATCCAGTGATTGTTAGGCCAGTTGTAAGTGTAAACTTAGCGCAGTTGAGTGTACAAATTTWATTTTAATTTTTGGTATTTTTTATTCGTGTAGGCATATGGTGTAATTTACAGGATTATTGGGTATTTCTACGCACTTTACAAATTTTTCTTCTATACAAAATTAATAATGGTGGATAGTAGAGTAGTTTTCCAACTTAATTTGCGATATTTATTAGCACGTTAGACAATTATAAATATGTAGTTAAATAGATTTGATTGGGGAAACACACCATACTCAGTGCCGGGAAAGAAACTCTCTTCCTGATCGGTATGCCAAGATATTACGCTAACAAAATCGGCCACAAATGATGGTATGTCACATTTCAAAATGGCCGAATTGCCGCGTATGACAAATGCTTTATGAATATCCTCCTCATACTGTTGTGAAACGACTGCAACGATGTTAAGGAATTGCCAAAGGAAATGAATGATTGCGAAATAAGTATAGCGAAATATTTAGAAAGTATGATGGAGAGTGCTTCAAATAAATATATAGGTAGAAATTTGTAAATTATGAAAGTAGAATAAGATGAGTGAAGAGAGTGAYGAAAGAAAATGTATACATAAATGAAAAATAATAGAAAATTGTGGACGGGAAATGCAGTTTGGGCACTATTTGCATTTAGCAACCGTACGCATATCAAATAAAAATGCTGCCAGAGCATTACCAACGACGTGCGATTAGTGGCATCTAAGTTAAGAACAACCGCACATATTGAAAACTTGCGGGAATAAGGATTTCAACCAGTTAATATCACTAGTARCCTTAAGAGGCTTTAATTTTAATTTGTTTGTTTTAACTTCGCACCATATTCGGTTCCGGGAAAATAATTTTCATCACTATCCGTATGCCAGGAGACGACTTCAACGAAATCCGCTACAAATGATGGAATTAGACATTTAATAACCGCTGCATTGCCACGTATCACGTGCTCTTTGTTGACATCCGCCTCATAGTATTGAGCGACCACTAGAAAATTGTTTTGAGGAGTTATTGTTGTGCTAAATACTAATACAAAATAAAATCTGTATAGCCCATTATTGATCAGCAAGATTTAACTGACATTTGGTTTGTGGTTTTTAAACTCAGCGAGGAATATAAAATTATTATGTTTATTACACATAAGTATGTATATATAAATTATGGCATTTTTTGATTGAATTGATTCTAATTAAATTCCGAGTCTAAAAAAASGAACTAGCATGTGGTTTTAATAAGCGTTAGATTGATTCTTTGTAGTACTTATAACACTTACTTGTATATCGCAACTACGGACACGGCGCATSCGTCTAGAAAAGTCTATAGAAATTTCTGAAAAACTCAGATACTTTTGTTACCGGAAGTTCCGACTTTCCACTTTGACACAGGTTCAGATTGCCTTCATCCCGAAGGCCGATAAAAGATCACAGGTATGTCAAAGATTTCAGATCAATAATTCTTTCGTGTTTCTCTTYGAAGACGATAGAAATACTGATTGGTCTGAACTTAAGGAGTTGAAGTCCGAGAAATGCTCTTTCAAGGACAGAGCATTCCAAGTGAAAAATACTCGAGAGGAGAGGTATTGCCGGAAGCGGTCATTAAAGCTCTTTATAGGTTTGAGGTAGAATAGACCATTAAACATCTTATATTCAAACTTCTCTGCAATAGAACGATCGTGGCGGAGTGGGGCTGTGCGTGGKCACAACAGAATTTAAGAAGGTCACCCCAAAGGGAGAGTTCTCTAGGCACTTCTCGGGATTAATGTTGTTAATGATCTTCTTGAAAAGCATTGGTGTCCTAGTACTACTGCAGGGAAGCTATTGAGACCTCTCACTAGTTAGTGCTTTGGCACTGTGAAACAATAGCTAATCCCATAATGTTCTAAGGAACTTTTATGTGGTGAAAAGCGCTGTAGCCTGGTCACAGTGATATTGCAAACTGTAAGGCTAATGAGTTTACTARGACAGCTACTTCAGCCATCTAACCTAACGTAACTTTGCAAACTGAACGATCAAAATCAAGTTCTTGTATAAATACTTTTTCATTTGCGAAAGGTATTATAGTTTCGGTGCAACTGAAGTTAACGTTTTTTCATGTTTTTTTTCTTTTTTTGTTCTAGATTTTTTATTCAAACATATTCGAAATTTTCTCTTGTTGCGCTTAAAATTAAATAACTTTCATTAGTGCTTCAGCTCAACGTTTCCACTTTTTCTTTCTGGTAAACTATTTGCGTTGTCTTGATTAAAATAAGCGTTAAATTACAAAATTAACTACATTTCTAACTTTTTTCCGCACATTTTGCTTTTACGCTTGCTTTCGCGTAATTAAATTAAAATCGTAATTTAGCTGACGGTTTGGGTGAGGTGCTATAACATCAACAGTTTATGCGACAACACACCTCACATTTTTGCAGCATTTGGTTTYGCTCACCTTACGCGCATTTGAATATTTCTCCGCGTTATTGTATACTCATTTGGCAAGGCGTTTACTATGCGCCTATTAGCCCTGTTAAGATGTGTAGCATGTAGTTCATGTTGACGTGACATGCGGCGATTAGTCGCTTTAGCTGTCAAAAAAGCTGCAGCGTATTAGCTTCCGCATATACACACCTATCCAAATACTTTTGTTGTGCGTTTGTATGACACTTTGTCTAAGTAAATTTATAATCGTTTAAATTATACTTTAGCTCAAGGCGAGCTTTGGCATGATGCGACATATAAATATATATGTATGTATGTAGGTTAGTGGGCGCGTAAAGTGGTCAGAGAAATTGTGGACGGAAGTGACSCACTATGGCGACAAAATATACTTAAGCTAGTTATAGCGCGTTACAGGTTGTTAGCTGCGTTACACTACAATACACGCTAATGTATTATTAGCATTGTCGTGTGTTTTGTTGTTGTGTAGGTGTGTTTAATTCTCATTAACTACCAAAAAAATGTGATAAATTGAATTTTACTTTTTCGTTAAATGATAATAATAAAAAATCTTAGCATGGGAAGGTGCGTCTTGCTCTATTACCTGACTACTTATGCTAATTTTGGCAAGAAAATTTAATTAAGTTACGAGCTTTTTGTGTAGAACATTGGTTAAATGACGCGCCAAAACTTTTAAAGTGGAGTTAAGTGTGCGAAACTTTTCTTGGATAAGTATGTTAAAAAGGGGCATTTAGCTAACTAGCGCTTTGAATGGAAACTATTATGGCTGGGCTTTAATTAAAACTTCTAGTATACATATATTGTCAACAAAGAAGAACGAAATGAAAGTAGTAGAAAGAATGATGACTGCTTATTTGTCTATTTATGAGGGTTATTGTACTTTGAGTGAATATTTATTCCCGAATATTTCGATCGATTCTCATTAAAAAAAAAAAAAAAATTTCGAAAATATAATTTTTTAATATCAAACTTTTTTAAGCGACCAGGAAGCATCGCGCTTAATTATAAATCGAAATTGCAACACTGCATTACAACTAACTGTCAGTTACTATGCAAACTGGCAAACGCAACCAAATTTGGTGAGCATTTATTTCATAACTTTGCACACTTACCATTATAAAAGACACCAACACCACACACGTTTTTGCAAATCAGCGCTGCCTTCATTACAATAACGGAGGYTTTATTGTTAACCGTAAATGGCTGCTGTAATGCGAAATATGGTGATGCATCACTGGCATTACTACGCATTGTCGCCGATGACAATGCTAATTTAAAGCAAATGCAACGCTGCTCTGCRTCAACTTTGCGCTTCGTTTGCAGCATAATGTGTCATGGTGATATGTGTGATATGGCGTTGMCAATTAACTGCAGTTACAATAAAAGTTTCGATAAATAGGCAAGGCATGAGTAAGAATTATTGTTTTGGCACAACAATTATAATAGGTTGTCAAAAAAGTCTTGCGGTATTTTTATTGAATTTCCACTTGTTCATATAATTTTTTTTGATGACTCATGCCCAGCTCATGACCGATGCTACGGCTGCTACTATGCCGGTCTCTTTCGACCAATTCGACCACCTCTACAGCAGAACGAAAACGTTAAAACCATCGTTGTGCGGTGGAAATGGAAACTGTATCGTGTCCATAAACTGCATAAATCTTATTGGCGACTTGAGATGCAATTTTACCTTTATCGTAGTAGTACTTAAAATATGCCGTATTTTCTCTATATTTTTTCTCCATGTTTGCGACGCTATAACTCACGAACGACTTAGAAGAAACGACAATCAATGAAACACGTGTTAGCGCATAAAATGAGCTTTCCAAAAAGATATAGCATGACCCGATACGACGAATAAAACTTGAACTAGGCGCTCTCAGCGCCAACTAGCGAAAATACCGCAAGACTTTTTTTACAAACTAATAGTATGACATTAATGATGATGCATTACATACGTACATAAATACTAAATGTTACATGAGATAGGCGTGAGAATCGCTCAAGAGAGGAAATATAATTTGAAAACAATTGATGYTATTTGCTAAATTTAAACCACAAACAAAATGTCAGAGTGGCTAAAAAAGTAGGGATTAGCCAGCTACTTTCTTATTATGTACTTGTCATCTTGTAAAGTGTGAAATTAATCATATGCAACGTCGGTTGTTAGATGAGATAGTACAGCTGCTGTCTCTTATACACATTGTGAAATTAATCATATGCAACGTCGGTTGTTAGATGAGATAGTACAGCTGRACAAGTGAAACAAAAGACAGGACAGCAGAGTCTAAAAACCCAACGATGCGMCTAATATAAATTAACCAACGATGAATGTAGTTTGTTGAATTCGAACCTATAACTTTTATTGGGGGAATWTATAAGAAAGTCAATGATAGTTGGAGGACTTTAAAGAATTAYTGTTGTTCTCTTAGAATTTAATGGTAGTTATTTTTGCACTTGGCCTTAAGTCCGAAAACACTTTAATAATAATAATGTAATTTTTTTTTTTTTACTTTTAGCAAATAGCTAAACAGCAAACATGGATAATACGATGCGAAACTGAATGTCAAAATGCATTTTTTTTTTGACATTCGCGAAAGTAATGTTCAGCATCCTCCGTGTCGAATCCACTTTTCCAATTTTCTAAAGGTGTTATCTTGAGGGTAGATACTATATGATGACCTCTATAGTATTACGAAGTTCCCTTTTGCCTAAAAGTACAATTTTTTTGTTCTGTCCACCAAAGAGCTGAATGGTCTGGGGCAGCTCAATAGAATGGTGTTCGTAAACTTTTTCCGAGCAGGCTAGTTCGTTTGCCTTCCCGTTCTTTTTTATTCCTGTATTAACCGAGTGACCTACTGGGAATCTGATTATAAGCTGCTAGTGGAACTTAATGCAGTAAGATTTAGTATTGGCATGACATTGTCCACTAGAAGGTATATGGATTTGCTGGGGAAAACTGTCAAAAATTTCGCTCTGAAGAATTGAATTGTATTCACTTAGTTTAAAATACCTTCTACGTAGAAATTACTACAGAATAAGCCTGCTCCAGTTCCCATTTCGCCCTTTGATCCGTCTGTAACTTTGTAGATTTCGCCGTTGGAACTGYCAGTCATAGATCTAATGGTCTATTCTTCTCTTCTGGRGAATGAAAACGAGACATTACGTATATCTCCTTTTCGCGGTCGCGTTGCCAACTTAGCTTGAAGTTATTAACAAGGTCGAGTATGCCTTACTTACGCCGAGTCTGGCTAAAACTGTCTAAAATCATTATCCGGCTGCTCGTAAATGTTGCATCATACTTCACTTAAATATGTATTGGCCAGTTATCGATGGAAAACTGCTGAGACTTGATATCTTAAATTAGACCCTTATATGTACATATGTAAATGTACATCTTTCCATAAGCAAAAGTGGAGAGTTTCGGATCAGATTATCCATTTAACAGAGTAAGCTAGTATTGAAGTTTTGTGCTCTCTGCGCAAAAGTCCTCCAACTATCGCATTTTAAAATCAGCGCTCATTGCGCTCACCACTCTCTAGAACTCCTTTAACTTACCCGCTCGTACATGAACATCGCGTGAAATAATTGTGCCAAATTGGTTACGCGCCAAACAAGCGTAGACCTGAGCGTGCACTTCCTGTCGGTAATCTTCAGCGCGGAAAGGTGGGAAGACCAATTTGCCATCGGATGAAATCTGACGCAATCCGGGTACATCTCCAACAGCAGTACCATCGCTACGAATCCAGATAATCTCAGGCATAGGATTACCGCTAGCTTTGCATTCAATTTCGGCGCCGGTYGAGTTGGAGAAATCAATACGATTGGTGGGTTCGTTGAGGAAAACTGGTCCTTTCTGGTCGGCATCGGGTTGGGTCGCCGCATAAGCCAGCGTGGTACCTGCAAGTAGAGGAAAAAAATTAGGATAAATGATTATTTTTTCGATTATAAATAAATATATAATAATATCAGCTCCTAGGCTGAGAGAATCCCCTCTATTAGACGTCTGTAATAAAGGACATTCACAAAGGTCGCGTTTCTACCCAATATCACCCGGTTTCGAAATCCAATATTGCCTTCCTTTCTATAGAAGAGTGGGGAAAGGGGTGAAGTAGACAGGGACTCGGGAATAAGCTCATACATATGCGGATGGGTCCAAACTGAATAATCGATTTAGAAGTGGTATCTTTGCAGCAAAATTACATGCCAGAATCGTTTTCTAACTACCAGACCACTGCAAGTGGTMTCCAAGCGGTCTCAGCAATTAAAATAGTCTTCTTGTTCTGAAAAAGAATGTCCTCACAATWAGGAATATATTTATGTATACATACAGATAGCGGCAATGAAATCACAAAGGGTTTCCTCTAAAATAGTTAAAGAAAAATAGTTTCATCTAAAAAAGAAAAGAAAGAACAATGAAATCACAAAGGGTTTCATCTAAAATAGTAAAAGAACGCCCTGATCTCTAAGTGGATCTAAGATCATATTCCACGATAAGAAAAAGAGTCGCAGCTATCAATCAAGGGTTTCTTGACGATGTTTGAGGTTGCAAAAATAAAACCTTTTTTTATTAATGATCTGAAGTACGAGCTGGTTCAGAGAGGACATAATAGMTGTATGGGATTCAAAATGAGCTTCCTAAAGGTCTAGTGCGTCGTCACGCAGTCATTCTCCCTACCCACTCACCTCTTTATTATCTTTAAATATTTATCTTTGATTATCTTCAAATTGATATTCGCATMTATCTCTACAATAAAGAAAGACAGGTAAATAATAACAATTAAAGCTCAACAGTCAGCATATTTATTGTACAGGTTGACTGGCGAATGTCGGCGTTACCACCGGCAATGTCAACTTGAACTTCACTTTATTTATTTTTTTTGGTTATAAGGAGGGCCAACGACAGCAGAATGACGCCAAATGCGGTAAAGAAAAAACAATATCCATAAAATCAGCTTACGACACGGCAGACGTAACAAGAAAGGAAAAGTCACAACAAAAAAATCAATAATAAAAAGATATATAATGCTCATATGGACACGGAGTCTCCTACACGAAGTGGCGGATTTCTTACAAAGAAAGAAGAAAAGAAACGCGCCGCAAACAAATCACYCGCTTCGTGCGCAGAAAATATGTACAAGCCGAACGATCATCAATGCGAGCTTACTTGTATGTAAGAATGAAACGTGTCGATGACACTTTCATGACTAAAACTTTCTGTCGTGGCATAATGTCATCAAACAGCAACAAAGGCACAAACGTGACAAGGCAGGAAAACACTGCCAAGCTGGAATAAACGTGCAGAGCCATAAGATCGGGGTATTAAAATTTTATACGGGCTATACTATTAAAGTAAGACTGAAGGAATATTTATGTACATAGTTGCATAGCCATGTACAAATATCAAAAACTTATATGGTACACACAAGGAGGAGAAAAAGTGTTAAAAATATGGGGTGGTGGCAAACCGAGTTCCTCACTTGGCACGTTTCGCACTACAGCCATAAATTACTCCATGTTCGGTAGTATAGAAGCCAATAATGTTTTTTATTAACCGCGTTTGCAAAAATCTATCATGACAGCTACTTAAAAAACTTTTTATGTAATCTCTACAAAATGGCAGAGCTACTAAACACAATCCATCGAGTAGTGCAAACGCTTTGGTAGCTTGATTGCATCTGAAAGCTATTCATTTGGATAACACTTTGGCATTTCACCAACGATAAATAGGTACAAACAGTATATGTTGGCTTTTCCTTTTTTTGAAAAAACCTATCGTGGCGCCGCCTCGCGTTCGTAGCAGATTCTTTCCAATAAAGCTAATAAAAGTGAGCTAAGGATTTTAAACAGATTTGGCAGCATWCTTAGTTGACATTTGCAAGGAAGTTTAAACACAGTTTGTTTGGTTAAGGAAGTTTAAACACACGTTTGAATTTATTTAACTATATTTAAGCTTAAGTTGAGCCATCACAGGTAAGAAAAAAAATTATATGTATTAGGGGTGTTTCGGAATTAATTCTTAGAAATAAAAGTTTTAATCAGGTGTCACTTCTGCTCTCATCTCTCTTAATTTTTATACTTCATTTATTTGACAACGGAATTTATTAAAGTTTAAATAACTAACAACGCTTTTCAAAACAGTCATCATTTATAAGCCGCTTAAATATCTTTGGGTAGAGTAGTGTCAAGCTACCATCAGTTTGACTTTTCACGCCTTAGCAAATCGTTTAAATTTATTACGAAAATTCATCTTCTGTAAAGAATATGTTTCGCGCGATTCCCTCAATTTATAGTGAACATAATAGGCCTACTGGGCGTACTATTCGCAATAACCCAGCTTGAGACCCAAATTTCATTATTGGATATTATTCGACCACGTCCACGCCAAGTGGAAAGTTGATTCGGAGCCGTTCGCAGCTCGGCTTCGGACGTATGGAACGGCTTGGCGTATTTTACGCCGAGATCTTAAATTGAAAGCGTACAGCTTGTGCAGAAMTGAAGCCGCCCGATCTTCCCAAACGATATCGCTTTTTTCTATGGGCTCTTGAAAAGTTCCAAGAAGATGCAATGTTTTCGAGCCAAATTTTGTTCAGCGGTGAAGCCCATTTCAGGTCACTGGGTATGTCCATAAATAAGAAAACCTCCTGGATTTTGGGAGGAAGACCAACCAGACGAGATTCTAGAGCTGGCATGGTAGCATCATCGATCTATATTTCTTCGAAACGTTCAGAACGTAACCGTCAATGGCGACCTTTATTGCGACATGATAACCGAAAATTTGATGCCTGAAAATCAAGCTCATGATCTCGGCAATATTTGGTTTTAACAAGACGACGCCACTTCCTACACAAATCAGTAGATTTATTGAGAGAACAATTCGGGGAGCAGATAGATTCACATTTTGAGTAAATGGATTGACCACCAAGATCGTGTGATATTTCCTATAGGAATATGCAAAGTCTAAAGTCTATGCGGACAGATCAGGCCTACCAGGAATGCTCGAACGAGTCATCAAAAATTGGACTTAACGGGTAGACCATCTGAGACGTAGCCGCGTCCAACATTTGAACGCGATAAACTTCTTTTTGCATATCACAACCAGCAATAATTTTTTCGACTTCTGATGAAGTGATTTTTGACCTGGATTTAAAAACTAAATCTTTACTAAAAGCTCAAAAAAATTTGGGAAAATCATTAGATATTTTAAAATATTTGTATTTAAATGATTTTAAGTTTTCAAAGAAAATTCTTTATCGGCAAAACCCTGSGGCAGTATGCAGACTATTTTCTGTAATCAATTTTTATTTTCTTCGAAGCCACTTCAGACATTGTATATTTACGAGAATATGGTCAAATATACCATATGTACATAAATATGTCCTTCACTCGCATATGCGCGATAGCAAGCGCTTGACATGCCATTAAAAGCTACAATTACTTAATCAGCTAATTCTACGTTACTGTTCATTACACATCAGCAGTAATTAAGCACACACAAGGGGGGTAATAAGTAATTAGTTACTCATATGAAAATGGAAATATGCAGCAAATGTGAGAACTTAGCACTTGCAAGCAATAAGTAATTTGAATAAAGTAGTCAAGCCTTGCGAATCGCATGAACTAAAACGCAAGCCTGACGGCTAACCTATAGTGGCACAATTTATTATTATGCTTTTGATCCAAATACTGTTCAACTAGCGCTTTCAATCGAACACAATGTGCGGATAAGTGATGCGCAACACGAAATACACTCCCGTCGAGACAAAAGCACAGAGAGTGGTGCACGCTTTGTTCGTGCCATGTTGTTGGACAACGAACGACCAAGGCCCAGAAACGCGTGCAGTAGTACAACAAAATTGTTGACCAACAACCAACGAAGCGTGTCAGCAACAAAATAGGAATAGCATAATGACAAAGCAAGCAGCAACGCCGATGTGTTGCTGTGAGAAATCGTTAAAAATTAAACTGAATTAATTTAAATGACAATAAGCATTAAAAACAAAGAATAATTAGGCTGCAACACAAGCCGGGCGGATGCTTCGGAACAATGCGTATATAATGAAACTGTAGGATAAAATCAAAAGATAAGTTAATAAAAACATAAAAGCATATAAAAACTAGGAGTTGGTTTACTATACAATTTGTTATTATTTTATACACCACCATGTCTTTTCGGTAAATTAGGTYCTATTAATGTCACCATTTCTGAGGTGTCACACGATTCGATTCGATAGAAAATCGATTAATTAATGCTTTTCTTCACAGTCGGCAAGAATTTAAGCACGCAATGCTTTGTTGTGACCGCAGCGTGTACTTGGTTGGATTGTAGAAAGCTAGATTAAGCATTASGGACGGATGTGGAGAATAGTTAGAAATAATATAGAGTGGTTAAAAACAAATTTCTAAAATTTATTTAACAAAATTAATCGCATTTTCATGGCTTACTTCCCTTACAATGAAAGTAAGTAACAAGAAGCAACTATTCTTAATTTCCAACAGTTGAATCTGCGTAACCGTAATTATTTATACCCTGAACAGGATGTACGAGTATACAAAAAATGCCACGGTGTTTAGAACACCCAAAAGTAAATGTCAGAGCCCCTATAAAGTATATGTACTACGTATRTATATACAAGTATAAATGATCAGCGTGATGGGCTRGGTCGATTTTGCCATGTCCGTCTGTATATACGCGAAATACTTCCTCCCTTTTAGAGATATAGACCTGATATTGTGCTGCTTATTCGTTGGAACTGCCGATATCGGACAACTAGAGCACATAACTGTCATATAAACTGACAGATTGAACTTAAATGTTTGTATGAAAAACTATTTGATTTGACAAGCTATCTTCAGGAAATAGGGCTATTAGGCAAAACGTCTCTACAATCTCCGAGGAA